ATGTCAAAACCAAAAAAGATTCAAGTATTCGAAACAAATTCCAAAATTTTATGAAATACTAACAGTGCTACCCTGTATATACTGAAATTATGTCCACTCTGTATATTCAAAATATAACCATACCTGTATATTTAAATCAAAATCAGAAACGTCAATAAAAATGTAGTCAGAAATACGTATTAAGTTATTTATCTGGGTTTTAAATAGATAAACAAACACCCTCAGAATTTATAAAAAAAAAAATTGCTGTTGAACTGAAATTATTAGAATTTAATTACAGAAATAATGAAAATAAAATTTCAAAACTATAGTCTTTGCCTTATAGAAAATTTATCTGAGCCTAACAAAAATTATTTTACAAAGTCTACCAAATAAGTGAAGCAAATTAAATTAAATTGAGCCAATTAAACTAAAGTCGAGCCAATTAAAACCAAGTAAAGCCCCACGTGACAGGGCGTCATATTCTTTATTCTTCTATTTGTGTGACGACTTTTTCTGTCATCACTCAAACAGAAAGAAAAAGGTATCCGTTGCTCAGGGTCAGAGGAGAGCTGGGTTCGTAAGTAAGGCTTGTGACCTGTGGTGACTTAATAATGTTGTTAAATAATAAAATAAAAGTAATAATGTATAGGCTGCAAGGATTCTAAAATTGATGTTAAGTATTCAAATAGTAATGGTCAAAGACAGTAAAAAGGGCGCCACTTACTTTGGGTATGAAAAGGTAAAGTAAGAAACCAGTAAGAAAATTTGATCATGAAATAGCTAAAATAAAATAATCAACAGCAATAAGGGTCTATTATGTTCATCAAGAATAAAAGTCAGATATAACTATCCTACGTTGAACATTTATTTAAAAACGAACACAATTATCAATCAATTATCAACCGCTACCTGTACTGAATGAAGTTTAACATCTAGCGAATAGATGGCGCCAGCAATATTAAAATTTGGAATTTTATAAAAAGAAAAATAAAACGCTACAACTTATCATCTCTAAAGATAGCAAAACTTTAAATATGAAAAAATAAAAAAATATTTTAAATTTTTAGTTGAACGTGCTAAAGTGCGTCGGTGGAAAAAATTGCGTTGACACCACCAGAAGGGTGGTTTCAAAATTAATTGAGCATGAATTGGCTTTAGAATGTAATTGGACTGGGAGGACAACAAACCAGCTTTCGGTGCTTACAAAAACGGTTAAACTTATTGAAGGTAATTATTAATTCTAATATGCCTATATGTCAGTGTTTTTTTAGGTAAGTGTTATACCTACCGTTCTATTTTTTTTCAGAAGTAGTTATGGCAAATACCTTGTGACGTCAATTAGTGTCAGTGACAAATTGGTGACAACCAAAAACTTGACAAAACTTGGACAATTTGACACAACTTTGACTAGTTAACGTATCTAACTTATAACCATTTTTCCGACTGGGGTCGGGGGTCGCGTGGGGTGGGCCGTATCGATCAAAAAACTACTAAAAATATACGACGTCACGATCGTTCCCGCGCGTTCAGTGTCGTTTAAATTAATATTCGGATGTAACAATAACTTAAATATTGCGTTTTGAGATCGTTTTGTGTTGTTTCTATATCTACATAGACAAATGTATTAAAGAAATGGCACAATGCAAAGTGGCACAATGGGGTCTATGGTTGAACGTTTATGTTAACTTAACGCACACATTAATTCCAGCAACATCTGTCACCACAGGTAAATTAAAAAAAAAGCAGTTAAAATGGACACTCGTCAGTTGAAACTTGATATCGGTCTGTGGAGACATCTGTTTTGGAGTTAACGTGTACGTTAAATTAACATAAATCCCGAGCCCCATGTCCCATTAAAGGAAAACTTGAGTTTCCCTTCATAATATATCTAAAGGCAAGCCATTATTCGCCCTGTATAATAAATGTACAGGGTTGATACAGCTAAGCCTTCATCATTTCTTTATAATAAATGTAATATTTTGATACAGCTAAACCATCATTGGCCCTTCATAATAAACATAATGGCTTGATATAGCTAAGCCATTATTCGCCCTTTAAAATAAAAAATGTAATAGCTTGATATTGGCAAGCTGTCATTCTGCCTTGATGGTAAATTATCCATTGGCCGAATGACGGCCGGTGGGTCATTTGCGTGTTTTACCAATAATGGCAGCCGGTAAAGTACCAATACATGATTGTATTTTTGCCAACGCCTTTGTATACATTCTACCATTGAAGTGTGTTTGCTAGGTGGTTAATGTTTTTACGAAAATAGAAAATTCGGTGTCGACATCATAAGAGCTAGTATCCCAGTTGGTTGTTTTACATAAGTGGCTGAACTTTTGAGCATTCTTTTCTGAAAAAATACGGCATAATTTACGAGGGGCATTTTTGATTTTGGACTTCATCGAAAATTCAGTTAAAACTGCTTCATGATCAGAGAGACCCGAGCTAAAGACGTTGCAGGCGATGGAGTTAGGATCAAAAGATGACACAACATAGTCTATAGTACTAGAACTGGTATTGGATATTCTGGTAGGTGAGCCTACATGCATGGCTATTCCAAAAGAATCAAAAATGGACTGAAGAAACTCCTGAGCAGCACATACACCAAGAAAGTCAATATTAAGATCACCACACAAAATTAATTTGCGTTTTAAGGGCAGGGACTCAAGCAAGCTTAGTAGATTATGACCAAATAATTGCACGTCAGAGTCAGGTGTTCTATAAATACAAATAATGTAAAGGTCATAAGCATTATGGTGGACAATGGAAAATTCGAATACTTTTTCAGATAACAAATCATTGTACCTAGTTACCTCGGAAAAGTCGTTGTTTAAAGACATTATCATAGTACCCCCATGAGAAAAATTTGTTCTATTAAATCTGGCCCCTGTGGTATAATTTTTAACAAACACAGGCTCATCAAAATTTAACCAGTGCTCAGTTATGGCAATGATATCTGGAAATTCAAGTTCTTCTAGTAAAAGATATAATTCATCTGTTTTATGTCTTTATGTCTTAAGGACTGAATATTAATAAGGAATAGACCAAGCTTGCTATCGCTTAAGTTTTCAGAGGGTGCTTGATCCTCTGTTCGCGTCAATTCAACTAAAAATTTTTACTCCTACTTGGGGAGCCACTGGAATAATATTTGCCATGACTTTCCCTAATCTTTTGAAGTCGTAGAAGACTCTCCGCAGAAAAGAATGACCTGAAAGCTGAAAGATCTGCATCAACTTCAGTTGAACCAATACCATAGACGTTGTGGAAGCGGTAGTACAACTTACGCAAGGAGTCAAGGTCACTAGGTAGCCCTTCTGATGCAAGCATCAATTTGATGCTGGTACTAGTGTGTCCTTCAAAACACACACTGGATGGTTGGTCGTGAAGATAGGCAAGGAATAGCCTAAGAGATTTCAAAATGGACGGGTCCCTCAACCTGGCCAACACGTAACGTCCATTTACCGCATCTGAGTCCTGAGACAACCGTAGTACAGGTGGAGTCATCGGGTCCATAACTACCAAACCATCTCTCTTCGTACTTCCCTGCACAATAATTTCTGGATTTTCCATCGCCAGGGACTTGCAAGCAGCTATAGCTTCCCTGTCAGAACCAATCTTAATAGTTTTTACATCCCGAAGAAGTTAACGAAGCTTGGTTTAAGGATGTTGAGGTTGAATCTATTATGGTTCCTGGCGGCCACATATTTATGTCCTTAAGCTGCACTAAGTGACACCTCTTTTGCACTCCAATTTTGAAATCGGAATGGGAACTGTCCATATTTTTCAGCATTGGAAAGCATCTGATGAAATCGGTGGTTCCTAGTTTTTCTTTAACATAATGCGCAAGTTGATTCGCTGTGTAAGGAGGTGGAATTCTGGACACTACCACATAATTCCAGTCTTCTCTTATGGCGGCCTTAGGAGGTTGCGATGACACTATTTCGGGTGAAACTATTTTTTTTGGCAAATCTATAAAAGCTGTACTATTTTGGTGATCTATAGGGCCCGTCTGCGTTGAAATGGATTTTTCCGCTGCATATTATGATTGGTACAGGTCTAATCCCTTGTAACAAACTTTTCCAATGTGAGCGACATTTGTTTAACGCTCTGCCTAAGGTCAGCCATTTCCTTCGCCATTTCTTCCTTAGATGGGTCATGAACTTGGACTTTAACAGACACATCATGGTTGTCCATTAAAATTGATGATAAATTGAATGTGTCTTGCTTTATCTCATTTATTGACTTAAATAAGGATTCTTGTGTGGTATCTGATATCCTGGATATGTCATCAATTTTCTTGAGTAAAATTTTCCACTTCGTGGAATCGTTGTCACTCAGCATGTCATACATTTCAGTTTGACTGGAAAAATGTCCATATGTTTTTTAAACAGAATCCTAGTGCTTCGATGATTTCTGGTTGGACCTGGCATTCTTGAAGCTGTGTAATTCTATCATGAACATATTTTAATGTAGGGGAATCGCAGACAGTGCAGAAAAATCTAACATTGTGGTACTTTTTGTTGACATAGCACCTTTGTTGTTGCCTTATCCAGTCCTGTACAGGTCATACAAAAACTTCTTCGACACTCTCCACTACAGCGAACCTTATAACTGTCCTTTTGGATTTTTTGACAAGAATCGCACTTAAATTCAGCCATAATAATGTAAATGATTAATAATATTAATAAAAGTCGATGACAGCTGAATAAAATTCGGAAGTATAAACAAGCTAGAACTCACGCACAGCGGAAATAAGTACGCCGAAAAATTATCAATTAAGGTTGCAAAAAACTAACACAAATAAACAAAGTCAAGTTTAAACGAACAGTGAACTTAGAGTTGATTTCGGGTCAGGAACAAAAACAAATCAAAACAAGTCAAATCAAAACAAAACAAACGTTCAATAACCGGCAGACAAAACGCACGAACGGTAACACAACCTTATCGTACGACTGCTAAACTGTTACAGTTGACTAAGGAAGGAGCATATCAAAAATCTAGGTACTAGTGATGGAGAACTATCGATGGCGCTATCGATAACTATCGATATTTTTCACTATCGAAAACAATCGATAGTATTTGGAGGCTATCGATATTTTGCGATAGTTCGTTTGGAACACATTTCTACTTAGATTGAGGTTATAAATGGTTATAAATATGTGTTGTTTGTTCATAAAGAAAGTTTAAAATGGATAACTTTTTAAACATAAAAAGGAAAAAGGAAGACAGTCCGAGCAGTCGTCGTAGCAGTAAGTAAAATTTATAAACAAAACATAATGCATTTCTAAAAGCATTAAATCCCCCCGAAGTTAATTGAATATGTTCAAGCTAGGTTGTTCCCATTTCCCATATGAAAAAAGAAGAGTAACTCAAATGGGCACTTGATGGATCCTCGATTTAAAAAGGAAGGTTTCAGAAGCAATGAGAATGCAGAATGTGCAGCATAAATGGAGCAGGAAATGGTCCAGATTTTGAAAAAAGAGGAGAAAGCAGACCCCGCAGAATCCAGATTTAGAGATGACAGGCCCGGCTACGAGCAGTACCTACAAGCACTACTACCACCAGCAGCAGTGGAAATCTATTATTTTCTTTTATTGAAGAAAGAATTTGCCGGAAAATTAAATCAATAACTGCAGATGCATTCATCATCAAACGTCAGTATTTGAGAAACAAATTGCAACTTAAAATGATGATCCTCTTCTGTTCTGGAAGGTAACTATTGATAAAAATATTTTTTTTTGTCATAATATTAAAACGTTTTGTTCTTACTTTTTACAGGTAAATGGAAGGGATTTACACCCACTGGAAGAATGTAGCAAAAAATACCTGTGTATTCCAGCATCATCTGTGGAATCTGAGAGGACTTTCAGCACCACAGGCAATTTAATAACAGAGAGAAGATCAAGATTAAAGGCAAACAATGTTGATATATTAACATTTCTGAACAAGAATGAATGTATAGTCGGAAATGTAAATAATTAGTTAAATAAAAATATTGGTTTTGATTATTTTATAAATCCATTATTTTATTAAAAAAAACAAATAATTTTAATAGAGATGCTAATTTTCGATACTTTTATATACTATTTTTTAATTAAAAACGGTAGGAAATTCGTACTGTCTTTAATTATAAAAAACTGTACGAAATTCGTATTGTTTGTTAAAAACGGTATGAAATTACCTTTTTCAATAAAACAGTACGGAATTCGTACTGCTTTTCATAGATAACCACATAGATAACTAACAAATTTATGTTAGTCAAAACTATCGAAAACAATCGATAGTTATCGATAGTCGAATGTGTCAATATCGATAACTATCGATGGCCGTGACTATCGATAGTTCTCCACCACTATTAGGTACACCGCGATGGGCCTCAAATATGGCCGACTTAAATTCCGGTTTATCAGTGTCGTTCTAATTTTATTTAAAAAATGTGAAACTATGATGTAGGGTAGACGTGGGGTAGACTCAATAATTTGTTGTTTTATTTTACGGTGTGAATAAATGTTGGTAGTTATTAAAATTGTTATAAAAATATATAATTGTAATAAAAATAGATAAGTTATAATAAGTATTTATTAACACAAACATCCGATACGCTACTGAAGCAGGTAAGTCAAATTAACGTATCTAAATTCTTTGACAAGTAATAAATAAAAGCTAAAATGCAAGAAAAATATATAATTTAGTTAATTTAAGTGAATTTCATAAATGATCGGTTTACTACACGTATGTATATTATAAAGTCACTTACTAGCGAAAAGTTGATCCATTATTTCACTCAATTTTTGCCGAGATCTACCGCACGCTACACAACCAACTATTTTAGATTCTTTTTTGATAAATCGCGATAGTGTCACTGTTAATTTAAGTTCTGCCACAATTTCCATCTAGATTTACTACCTTTATACAACTATCAGTAGTAGAATAAATAATAAATAACATAAAATAAGCTCCGTAAAGACTGACAAATCCACAAAATTTCAAATCAAATTCAAATGTGTCAAATGAATCGTCAAACAGAACTGTCAAGAATCCCCACCCTAGAGTGCTTTTATAGTGCTTTTTCCGCCCACCATGCATGAATACATGGATAGCATTATGCTCCTTCCTTAGGGTACGAACATAGTGGAGGCAGGTTTCTGCTTTCCGGCAACCAGCGCCGTCTCTGTGGACCTATTCTTGACCACATATTGCTCACATCTCGCATCTCCGAAAAAGCCATATAACAATACACGTGATGCGTAACTTTGCGTATATGCCGTGTATTGTTATATGGCTTTTTCGGATATGCGAGCAGGGTTCGGAAGTAGTTAATTAAGAGGAAATTTACCTGATTAACTAACCTAACCTAACCATATTCAAACGCCGCGCCGCACGGTGATATATTTGCTCATTTTAGCCGGCCAAAAGGTCATTTTTAAAAATTAATTTTTATGACCAACGAAAAATGTTATCTTGAAGCCCAGGAGATAAGGCATCTAAAAATAATTTGCTTTTTGCCATACAAACAGGTATTCGTATTTAGAACTAGTTCCAATTTGTCTGTCTCACAAGCAGAGTGTTTTCCGCTTAAAAATTGCTTTATTTTAAATTAATAAATTTTATTTTTTATATATTTGTTTCCAAAAGTGAATATGAATTGTGATGAAGCAGGTAAATATAGGACTTTTTCATGTTTAATCAAATTAATCTCGTTGGTTTTTTAAAGCTACGCCTAGTTAAAGGTATATTAACTTTTTTTGAGTCTTTTTTTTAAACGTCTAAAGTTGTTATGTGGTTCCTTGCATTTCCCGACAAAAAACTTTGATCATTTAAAAAAAGCCTTTCCTCTTCTACAAAACTTGATATTAAGTAGCCGCCAAATGCCGCCACTTTTTGAAAAAAATCTAGTTTTTAAAAACTAGCGCAGTTTATTATTTTTTGTGACGTACATCTAATTCGGTATTTTTGCATTTAAGGACCTGCTGGAGATAAGATCTTCACCCGAAATCAACTTTTTAATCTGATGAGTCAACAAAATTTGAAAATATTTGACGAAAAATTGGCATTTTTGCAAAATTATCTTCTTACATATGATGCTTTTTCTGAAGATCAAAAAAGAGAAATTAAGCACAATTTTTCACGTTTGCAAGCCGAATTTAAAGAAAGATTGATAGAATGTCAAAACAAGGTTTTGGAAATACAAACGATGGAAACACCAGTCGCAGGTTTTTTGCCGATCCAGAAGTCTCCTCTAAAATTACCGGAATTGATATAACCCTTATTCATCGGTTTAAAGTAACTCTTGAAATCATTTCTAGTGGCTATAGGGTGAATACACAAAAATTTGCCTGTTTTGCAAGAGAGACCTCCGAACTATCTGTAGCACTTTATCCTTGGCATCCAACGACACCTACTATGCACAAATTATTTCTGCATGGTGTAGAGGTAATAGAACATGCCATTCTTCCCATCGGACAGCTGTTTGAGGAGGCTGCAGAAGCCAGAAATAAACATATTAGATTATATCGACAAAACTTTGCCAGAAAGTTTTCTAGAGAATCCTGTAACGTGGATATATTAAATCGTTTGCTTTTAAGTTCCGATCCATTTTTATCAATGACAAGATCACAACCAAAGAAAAAGACTAAACCTTTTCTAAAAGAAACTTTAGAATTACTTCTTCCAGATGATCCCTTGGCTAGCACAACCCTTAGAAACGAATCGTCTTCCGACGAAGGTCATAGTGAAGAAAAACATTCATCAGATGAAGATTCGTGGTTTTCCCCAAGTTCGGATTAAATTTGTAGTTGTAATTTTCCTTAAGAATATATATTTTTATTAAAATCTATTTTTTCGACATTTTTGTTTTAAAAAGTTAGTGAGATCTTTGAAAACAGCAAAAATTTTGGCTCTTACATTCAATTCTGGTTAAAACCAACAAAGTTAGTTACTTCACTATCCTCAGATATTTTTGACCACCTAAACCGGGTCAATAGCTCACCGTGCGCCGGCACCGCACATAGGGGTATTTGGTCTATAAACCTGGCCAAAAGTGAAATATTTTTATTTTTATTTTTTATCTTAACTGAATACAAATGTATAAATACTAAATGTAAGCGCGTTTATTAGTTTTTTTTTAAGTCGTAAGTTGACTATCAAATAAATAATATATTTCAATTATAAGTATGAATTATCTTGAGTGTATTCTGAATATTTCTAAGATTATAAAATAGTTGAATTGTTTGTAGTGCTTTTTTTTTGCAAATTGTTTATAATAACTGTCATCATGGATACAGAGCCAGCTGGCAAGTCCTGTTTTATGCCATATTTTTATTTTGAAACGTTTTCTTCTATTCTATTTCTTTATAATGTTTTATATTTAAAAAATCAGAGGCATTTTTATAAGGTGTAAGACTATTCGGCAATATTCCGCATGGAAATTAGTGTTACGAATTCCGTGGGTCCACTATTTAAACTCACGATAAAATACTTAACGAATTTATTTGTTTCACTCTGTACACACAACTTATACTATTTACAACACAACTTATGCAACTACTATTACTCTAACGGTATTTCGCGGTATTTTCAAACTTCAGACTATCTTCAGACTTTAGACTTCAAACTTCTCCAACTGTCAAAGCGCGGGCCTTATATACCCACTGGCGGTTGTTTCTAGATTTTTCTAAAGAATTCTATAATTTTCTTTACTTTCTGGCGAATGCGCCAGGTTCCTCAATGCACTTTGCGATTTTTTTAGCAGTATGCAGTTATGCAACCAGTAATACACCTTGACATTGCCCCCTTCTCAAATTTGATCGTCCCGATCAAGGTTTCCTGTCTGGTATCTCTTCAATCGATCCAGATGAACTACTTTCATCTTACTTCTAGGGCTGCGTTGAATCCGGTACACAACATCATTTATCCTCTTGATGACTGTATAAGGACCTTCCCATGCTGGAGTTAACTTTGGGGACCTCCCTTTCTTGCGCTGTGGGTTATATAACCATACCATATCGTCCTGTTGAAATCCCGTAGAATTAGCTCTGAGGTCGTAACGAGCTTTCATCCGGTCACTGGCTAGCGTAATCTTACTTCTCACGGCCTTATGAATTCCCAATAACCTTTCCTTCAGTTCATCCGCGTAGTCCTCTACGTTCGTGGTGCTGTCGTCTGGTGATCCGAACACCAAGTCACAAGGCAACCGTAATTCTCGACCAAATAAAATCTTCGATGGTGAAAGTCCGGTGGTGTTGTGAACTGCACTTCTATATGCCATTAGGAATAGTGGTATATGCTGATCCCAATCTCTTTGATGTTCATCCACCATTTTCGAGAGATGTTCTTCAATGGTCTTATTGAATCTCTCGACCATCCCATCAGACTGCGGATGTAAAGCTGTTGTCCTAGTCTTGTGAATACCAAGCAGATCACACATCTTCTGGAACAGTCTTGACTCGAAGTTCCTTCCTTGGTCAGTGTGAAGCTCTAAAGGAATTCCAAATCTACTGAAGACATTATGACTAATACTTCAGCTACAGTCGATGCTTCTTGGTTTGGAATGGCAAAAACTTCTGGCCATTTACTGAAATAATCCATCGCCACTAAAACGTACTTGTTGCCCTTGTGCGTTTCAGGGAATGGGCCTGCAATGTCAACAGCGATTCTTTCGAATGGCAGTCCAACGTTATATTGTTTCATTTTTCCCCTAGATCGAGTGCTTGGTCCTTGGCTGGCTGCACAAATTTTACATTGTCGACACCATTTCTTGACATCTTCGCAATAATCCACCCAGTAAAAGCGATCTCTCAGCTTGCTCAAGGTCTTG